CCCCCGCATCTGCGGCGGGTCGCCACAACGCCGCTCGGTCCAGTGCGGGGGCGCAGCCCCCGCCGCACGCCCCACCCCGGGACCCGGTGGCCAGCAGAAGGAGAAGCAGGGTGGCCACAGCCGGCCACGGCGATGCCGACCCGGCTGCCAGGCTGACCTTTCCCAAGAGGAAGCCCGCCGGGTGCTCTTCCCACGAAGGGGCATACCCTCTCGAAGGGCAGAGGGGTGGGCCAACGGGCGGCCAGGGAGGGAGGCTGAACAACGGGCTTGCACCGTTCAACAGGCATCAGAGCCACCAGTGCCACAGAAACATCTGAGCGGAGACGGGAGCACGAGACCGCTTTTTAAAAGCGTTAAGCCCAACACCCTCAAAAATTACAGCTGCTCAGTATTACTAATCTGAGAAGGGTTGAACTCCATCACCTATTGCTCAGTCGTTATCGTAACTCCCAGCAGAAACTCCAGTTTTGGTAAAAAAGCGTGCATGTGTGAAAGAGAAAGGCAGCAGCGAGTCTTGGCAGAGAATAAACAAGAGCTTTGTCGCTCTCTACGAGCAGGAGCAGCTCTCGGAGGAGCCTGTCTGCGCTAGCAAACTTTGGAAAATTTTGGCCTACAAAACCACCAGGTTATTTCCAGTCGCAGTGGTGAAGATGGGCCTTTTGGACTGGATTTTCCCCTTCGGCTGTCTCACCCCTAGTTCTGACTGGAGGACTCCTCTGCAACGAAGACTGGTATCACACTGCTCTGGTGCTGCACAGCTCCTCGTTTCAGGTCGAAGCACCAGGAAGGTGGGTACAAACCGATGCATCCAGGTAAGCACCGAAACCCTCGCTAGCCGAGTACCATCACCCATCCGATCAAGTAAGCAGAAAGGTTTTTAAAATAAAAATACTTAACATTTATTCACCTTTGAAGTCACTATAGTAAAATTGTACACGCTATGAGTAACGCAGGAACGTTATTAAAAGCTACCAGAAACATAAGGCAATTTGTACAACCACTGAGAGAAATACACAGCATGTTGAAAATAGAGTGAAATATTACTCAAACAAGACAACGCTTGATACGCACTAGAGTGACAAGAACCAGCATTACGTTTTAAACAAAAATAAAGATGTCATGGCTACAAGTATTATACAGTGATAAATACTTCAAAAATATATTAAGATATATGGAAATTCTCGTTTTCTCAAGGAAATCCAGAGAAATTCCAGCCTCCACTGGATTTCAATATACCAATCAAGGTTTAATATTTTAAATTCCTTTCCTTTCAGTAAGAACCACTACTGCAGCCATTACCGTCCTGTATCAATTCTTATCTTCTTGTAGTGTAATGAAATCAGCCTTATGTTATATTAAGCCCTAATGCCTCTCACACCACGGGCAGTAATTGCTCTAAATCAACCAATGAGTTGCCTTTCGGTAACAAGTGCTGTGCACTGCATTTGAAGCCATAAATCATGTTAAGTCACAGTCAACGTTCGCCACTTTACAGTATTAATGGAAGGCGGGTTCCAAGACTTGCCTCCGTGTAAATAAGACGTCTCGAACAGAGGGTTTAGTAGCAAGTCCACCATAATGTTTTCCTAGCATAACATTGAGCACTCAGAAGTTACAGTACATGAACCATGCTAAAGTTTAGGTTACACCTTCAAAAAGAGAGTCCAGAGGATGTTTGGAGACGACAGGTTTTGACCATGCACAAATGGTGGTTTAGTACACATTTGTTTGTGCTGTTACTGGGTAGCGAGTGAAGCAGTTTATAGCCAAGTATTTGGTGAGACAGTTTTCCGAGCCAGTTTAAAAATATAAACTTCTTCTTAGAGGGTCTGTTCTATAGAAAATAGAGTGAAATCTGGTAAACCGTCAGTTTTGAGAGTACTTTCCCATGGCAAGATCCATTCATCAGCCTACCGCACCACCAAGAGAAAAGCCAATCCTGCTATTCCAAACCCCGCTGCAGCCATGATCGCATTGCTTATGGTACTGCTCTGGTCAGCCGGCTGGGACCCGTGTCTGCTGAAGAAACGACAGAAGCCATCCTAGAAAAGCAAGAGAAAGGACACTGAGTTGGTTGGCTTACAATGAACCGCATTTCTTTTAACAAGCCTTTGAGCACAGTTTGCTTCACACTCCCAGCACGGTGTTTGTCAGCTGCAGAAGTCTCTATTTTAATCACGAAAGCCTAAGCCTGCTGCCCCGGGCACACAAAAATGCTTTGTGAGAGCCTTTGCACAGGGCGACTGAAGGCGGCAGCTACAAGCGTTTGCACGCTTTGCTCAAAAGACAATTGCAAACTTCCTATCGAGATGCTCAGCATGTCATTATGTTATTTTTGCCCTTTTAGGCAAGTTTCTGATGGAAGCTGCCAGCATTGTTCCCCCTCACTCAAGTTTCAGAAAGCATCCGAAACACAGGATATGGAAATTTCCACTTGAAAGACAGGAGCCCACAGCCGGTCCCATCTCGGTGGACGCGGGACTGATTACACGCTCCCTTGGAAGGGCCAAGTGGACACTGCTCAGAGCTGACCTACGACAGAGCAGAGCTGGCAGCTGCTCTCCCAGATCGTTATTTGTGATAATCAGAAGTGGCAGCAATACAACTCCAGATGGTTGTGTTTGAACTCTGCTCCGCAGATGTCTATGTAAACAAGTTATACTCTTAATTTCTTCCGGAACTTTGTTCTTTACACTTTAATTTGTGCGAACAGGCAACGCGATTTTGCTAAGCGACAGTATATATTGTAGCCAACCACCATGCTGTTCCGAGCGGTCAGATGGACCAGCGACCGCTGGAAAACCAAGTTCATCTTGGTCTCTGGAAAAGTCAACGAAACCGGTGGCTGCTTCCCCCCCCCCCTTTTATTTTTAGTGCTTGTTTGTACTGGCATCAAATATTCCACTAGGACTGAAAATAGGAAACGCGCGGTTCTGCGGGATAGCTGACATTGTGTTCAGGAACGCAGGCAGAGCTGCCCGGACGCCCCAAAAGCCGTAACTTTCATTCAGCACGCATCCCGAGCGGCGGAGAGCGACAGCGGCCGCTTGACATCACGCGCCTCAACGCCGCGGCCCGCACCTTCCCCAGGCCCCGGCCCGCGTCAGGGCAAGCAGGAACCGGAGGAGCGGGTCCCCACACGGGCGCACCGGTG